GGCTTTGGTGGTTGGTGTATGAATTTGAATAATAGTAGTATCAATGGGTCTTCCTTGTAGGTGTATGGATATTATCCTATGACTGACAGCATTGTGTTTTAGGACAGATCTTGAAACACTTTTTGTGACAATGGGCGCCATGCCATTGATCTTCAATTTGCCATTCCCAGCATAGTAGATCATATGGTTGTCTGATTCAAAATGGCCAAAACCAGTCCATTTGAACTCACTAATGCCTAGGATATTGATATTTGTGCATTCCATTTCATTTTTGAAAACTTCCAGTTTGCCTAGGTTCATACTTCGTACATTCCGTGTTCCGATTATTAATGGATGTTTGCAGCTGTTCCTTCGCATCTTGAGTCATGCCACATCAGCAGATGGAGGTCCCGAAAACTTTACTCCATCCACATCATTAAGGTTGGCTCTGAGGAAGCAGCTCTTTCCCAGTCATTTTTTGAGTGCCTTCTGACCTGAGGGGCTCATTTTCCGGCACTGTGTCAGTGTTTCGAGGCTATTCATATGATGTTTTCTGGTAATATATCAGATAGTGTTTCACTGCTATTCATAAGGTTTCACTGGCCAATTCTTTGAAAAGTGGGTGGGCCCTTCCTTCTTCCGAGCCTGTCTTAGTCTGGAAGCTCCACTAAACCTGTCCACCGTGGGCGACCCCGCTGGTGTGTGAAATACCAGTGGCAGAGCCTCCAGCCTCACATCAGCATGCAGCCACTGCAGCCTGACACGTGGCAGACGCAGGTGGATGAGTAGAATGGTTAGTCATTTAAGGGAAGAAAGGGCTGTTTCTGGGAGATGAGAAGCCAGGTCGCCCCCTGCTCCTTCCCTCCTGTTTCCTCTAGGGACATAGTGACGTGGGAATCGTTTCTCTAGAGATGTTGTGAGGAGTGTGGCTGCAGAGCTGCTGACGTTGTCAAGGGAGCAGACGGTTCTTGCCGTGGGCCAGTCATGGGCACGGCCGCAGTGTTCTTTGTCATATTCTGTCATCTTGTATTAAAGGGACTATGACCCTTTATGAAAAATACTTTACAACAAAATACAAGCATTTCAGAGTTTTTCCTTTTTGTTTTTGTCTCTGCAGTGTGGCTATTGTTAGTTGAAATGGGAAGGATAAGAAACTGTTTCCAGAGATAATGAGAATGTGTGCTGTCTGTGGGCAGTTTTGAATTTTAGCAAAGTGAACTTTTGTCTGAAACAACAAGTTCCTCATGGTTGTGCCCTTGAGCAGATGGCCTCTTGGCTGCAGGTGTGGCCTGGATGGGCTCCGTGTGCCCCGTCACGCCACATCACTTGAGGCCCTTGCCTTCTCATTCATGGTGTGTCCACCGTTTCCTGGGCTTGAAGAGATGTTCTTTGTCTTGTGCTTCAATGTTACGGTCTTGACCTTTGTGCAGAAAACAGGCATTTTGCTTGCCGACCGAAGAGCCCTGACTGTCTGTGGTTGTGGATACGGTGATTTTTATGAGATCAGCTCTTTAATTTAAAGTATTTTACAGATCAGAACAGCACTGATTTCCTTCTGTCCTCATAGCACTGACCTTTTTTCTCCCCTCGGTTAAAGCAGCTTGTAAGATGAAGCGGAAGAGGAAGGAAGGTGGTTTAAGACGGGGCAGCAGGGCTGGGCGCCGGGTGCAGGTGGCCCTGAGAGCAGCCTGGTTTCACCTGTGGCCTTGTTCTGTTCTGATCCAGGAGACTACCTGGGTGGAGAGGCGTACTGGGCCGGCGGCCTGCACCTCTACACCCCTCTCCCTTTCCGGCCGGGCCAAGGAGGCTTTGGAGAACTTTTCAGAACACACTTCTTCCTCAACGCGGGCAACCTGTGCAACCTCAACTATGGTAAGTCGTGTAGTTACGGGACCTTGTAGCACAGCCAGCTGTGTGTGAAGCAGAGAACGTCAGCTACGTCCTCCCCACCTGCACAGAGAGGGTTTGGAACCGAGAAGTGGGGCAAGATCCTCCTGGTTGAGGCCACAGGGAGCCACTTGCTGGGGAGGGAGGGGACTAAAAATGTGCACAAGATTCCGAACTCGTATCACAGAGAAGGAAGGAAGCTGCAAAGCAGAGGGCAGCAGCAGGCGTCCGTCTGGGGTGAAACCCCACAGTCCTATGATGCAGGGCACAGTCCCACAGCACCTGTCGGGGTTCAGAGCATGGCTGCTGATTGAAGGGATGAGGCGTGCCTGGAAGATTGTCATTGGTGCTGTCTGCAGAGAACTGCCCCGTCCCTTTATTCAGCAAGCATTTCTCGAGCCCTTACTGTACACGGGCCATGACGGTGCAGAGCCGAGTACAGCCCCGCTTCCTGCAGGAGCTCAGGTCCAGAGACTCACCAGATGCATCCAGCTGGGCCAGGCAGGGTTGTGAGAGTGTCACAGACAGGCCGGGAGGAGGGATTCCCAGGTGGTCAGGGTGCAGGAGGGCAGTGGAGGAAGCGGCCGCGGATGTGCCCACGGGATCAGCACAGCTTGGCTTGTTCCGGGGTAGACGGCACGTAAGGTCCCGAAGCCCCTCTGGTCTCCCTTGCAGTCCTCGTTATACTCCATGAACTCTCCTAACGGTGCCGGGCCCGGTTCAGCGTTAGCACCGGGCACATGGCGGGGGAGAGCCAGGGCATGTCTGAGGGCGGCTATGAGAGGACAGGACGCGGTGGCCTCATGCCCTTCTCTCTTCCCAGGGGAGGGCCCCAAGGCCCACATCCGCCGGCTGGCTGAGTGCATCCGCTGGTCGTACGGCGCTGGCATCGTCCTCAGGCTGGGCAACATCGCCCGCCTGGAGCTGAACTACTGCATCCCCATGGGCGTCCAGAAGGGCGACAGGTCAGTGCCTGCGCTGTGGCCACGTTGGCCTCACGCCTTCCGATCGTTTTATTTCACTTTGGGTGTGAGTTGTTGTTTCCTCAGGGGCCCTTACGATTCAAGATTGTAGGAGAAATTGTATAGTTAGCAAGAAAATGGAAATGCCTCCGTTTTCCTCCGGTGGATTTCTCTCTGGTGGGTCGCTCCATCCGCTTGGTGAGAATAAACATCACGTGTTCCCGTCCCCCAGCTTCAGGCTGTCATGCTTCTCATTCCACAAGTGGCAGGACGGGCTGGGAACCCGTCGGAGGGCAGAGCTTCGCTCCCAGTCACAGGGCCATTCTCCATCCTCTCGGCACCGGGAGCATGTCCCCTGCACCCCCGGCCTTAGCCCTTTCCCGGTTATTTTACGGAGGGAAGATGTGCTGAGCAGCCGTTGACAGTCAGAGACTCCCTGGCTTACGCCGTATGTGTGGCGTGCATTCTGAGAACTGCAGGCTTCTACTGTGACTGTGGGGGTGGGTCTCCTGCTTCTGCCCACGCTGCAAGCTACGGCTTTCAGTTTTCTGTCTTATGTTGCCACGGTGCTGTGCTGTGCTGAGTACTAGCTCTGGGTTTCAAACGCGAAGGTGTCGTTTGTCCTAGTTTAAGGAAATACCTCACCATTTTCCACCCACGCCTGCTGTCTTCAGCTTCAGTGCCGGTCAGTGATGGTGCTCTTTGACGGTGTCTGTGTTAGGCTTTTCTTGACACGTCGTCCCAGGGCAGCAGTTCATTTGCCGTCTTTCAGATCCACGCCGTGTCCCTGCAGTAGAAGCTGCGCTTCCCCATCGCACTCTCACTGCCCGCTCTGTGTCCAGCAGCTGCAGGGCCAGTCCCCTGCTGTGTGATGGGGTGAGGTGCTTAACCTCTCTGGGCCTCAGGTTTCACACCTAGAGAATGGAAGACTATGACGGTGATGACTTTCCAGATGGGCCGTGAGCATGAAGTGAATTAGCACACGGGGCTCGGCAGTGCCTGGCCGTTGTGTCTTGTATCATTGCTGCCACTGCTGGTGTCCTTCCCATGGCTGGCTTCTCGTGGGCAAAGCCTATAATGTTCACAGCTCCTGTAGGAGATGTTTCGTCCTTTGCCACCAGTGTTGACAAGTGTCCCGATTGAAGAGAGAGTGGTGGGAAGCCGGCACCTTGGAACAGCTGAGCTGGTGCAGCATGCACGTGACGTCACCTCAGAGCCAAGCCCCGTAAAGCCTTCCCATCTTCAGTGAAGGAAGCTCGCTGGGCGAGAGACTGCCTCTGTCCACGTCCTGCAAAGCTTCTGTCCACCTTGCGACCCCCG